ACACTGATATATATATATATATATATATATATATATATATATATATATATATATATATATATATATATAAAATATAATATAATATAATAAAATATAAAAGAGAATGAGCAGAACTTAAAATATATGAATGAAAAGACCATAATAGTGAAGAAAAGAACATTCAATATAACAATGGAAGTGTTCTTAGAAAGGTGTAAGGGAAGTCACAACCACTTTGCACTTTCATAGATCAAGATGATGAAAATCTTATAAATACATGATGCCACAAGATCCACTAAGATACATTACTTAGATAATAACAAAGCATCTTTGTCATTACACAAAACACAAATACACAAAATACAAAGCCAACTTCTCGAAACGATCTTATGGGCTCACCAATCTTCAGTGGCGAGTCTATAATAGAAAACCACATGGTTCACTAATTTTTGTATAAGAAATTTTCTATACAAATTCAAAGATTTTATTGCTAATGTAGGTCACAAAAAATTTTCTATAGAAAGTTTACATAAATTAGAAAAATTAGGTGGGTCATTAAACCCACCTTATTTATACATAGCCTCGCCACTTCCAATCTTCTTCGCACATTGCTCTCTGAAGGGCTTCACTTCTTCAGATGGCTACTCATGTGGAGGCCACTTTTGGGTTCCAACAAGTATTAATAAACAATTCCTAACTCTCTAACTCTATTTTTTTTAACATCTTTTAGAGTTAACACCCATAATTTGAACGTAAGAGCATAATCATGGACCATATCCCGAATTATTGACCATAGTCTACATGTGTGATCAATAGGTACCAAAGACTCAAGTTATTCCCATGAAGATCCTATATTCTTGCTACATACTCTTTCACCTTCGATCCCTTCTAGGACTTGGTTGCATCAATTACCATGTTTTATACACAAGATCAAATGTATATTTATGTAAGTATATTTATTTTTACTTTTTATAATTTATTTCAAAAATAATCTTTGATACAAATTATGAATGTACTACTAGTAAGAAATCAACTTTATTGCATAGATTGGTAAAACATTTATAAAAATTATATATGTTTATCCAGATAGAATTGATAAACCGGTTTATATTATATTTTTGAAAAGTTAAATGAGCTATTATGTATTTTTGAATTGTTGAAGGGGTTATTCTGTACTTTTCAAAAGTTGCTTCTTTTTTGTCATACTCACCTATTTTGTGACAAGTACTGAGTCGGGAGTTAAAAACCCTGTACGAACGTCGTGTATCGCTCTCTCCCAACCTCCTCGCACTCATCCCTCACCTATTTCTCCCATAATACTTCACCCTCGCAGCTCGGAAGATGAAACCTGAAACCAGAATCGAGCCACAGAGCAGCATGATAAATTCGGAATTCTGAATTCGAAGTTATAGGTATGTATGCTAACATCGGTCCCCCATTTTTGCATAATTTCCCGATTTTGAACATATTAAGCATATAAAAGGTACTTGGGCATAGGATAACTTTTGGACATTTTCTCCGGTTGTCAATTTTTAGGATGCATATTTAATTGTAATCGAATATCGTGTTATTCTCCATCAATGCCTTCTATTTAATACGCATATGCTATGCATCGACTCATTCATCATTTCTTCATATGAATGCTTATTTTCCCACTCAAATTGAAGATCGGTTTAGTTATCAGGTGGTTGTTTTACCGCATGTGGAAATTTGTTTTTGGAATTTTATTCAATTAAACCTTCTTCTTGGAGGTGTTCAAGGTATAAAGGGGCACTGCATAAAGGGGGACGAAAAAAAATATTCTTTTTAGGGCCCATACTCTGGGAATTTCCTTTAGTTTCTTCACTTTAAACATTTTCTGCGTGTAATTGTAAAACCCTAAACCTAAGTAGAGTAGTGTATCCCCATCGAAAAAGAGTCTACTTAGCTTTTGAAAGTTCAGCCTAATAATCTGATTGATATAAACCCTATAGTATATCTTTATTTGATTAATCATAATTGTTTCACGAGGTTATAACTTTATTTGTATGAACTGAAATAGCTTTTGTTAATTTTGATGTAGAAATGCTCTTGAGACTTGATAGTGAAAGAAAAACTATACTGTGATGAAGTTTGATGCTACCATGGTGCATTTGTTATGTGCAATGTGTTAAGTGTGTTAATTATTGAGAACTGTATCTTCATTTTTGTGGCAATATGGAAAATCGAGAGGCAAATGGATCATGTTTTTGGTTGGAGGAATCTAATGATCATGAGCAAACACCAATCCCCATGAAGCATAAAAGAAAAGTAAAGGCAAAAACAGAGTTTGTTGGATGGGGTTCCAAATCTTTAATTGAGTTTCTCCAATCAATTGGCAAAGACACTGATGAACAGCTCTCTGAGAGAGATGTGAATGCCATTATAATTGAATATGTGCACACATTAAATCTTTTCCACCAAACAAAAAAGAAAAAAGTTGTATGTGATGAAAGGCTTCGATCTCTTTTTGGAAAGAAATCAATACCTCGAATCAAAATCCAAGATTTGCTAAAATCCCATTTTGCTGATAATCATCAATCCTCTGAAGATGATTATTTGTATAGTTCAGATGAATATGAAGATTCCAATATAACATACAAGAAACAGAAGGTGTTAGATTCAGAGAAGAAAGCTCAAACTCCCTCTCAAAAGAAAAAAACACCCATGAGCTCTTTTGCAGCTATTATCCCCGAAAATATAAAGCTTTTATATTTAAAAAAGAGTTTAATTCAAGAGCTCATTAAACACCCCGAGAGTTTTGAAGAAAAACTATTGGGTAGTTACATAAGGATAAAATGTGACCCAAATGATTACTCTCAAAAAAACTCCCATCAACTTCTTCCCATTACAGGGGTAAAATTGGTAACTGGAAATAATGATGAACCACAAGACATTCTCCTTCAAGTTCCAAACATGGTCAAAGACATAACTATAAACATGTTGTCTGATCACGACTTTTCTAAGGTAGTTAACATTTCTTACATGATTCAGTGTTGTTTTCAGTATTTAATTATTTAATTATTTCATATTTTTCAGGAAGAATGTGATGATTTATGTCAAAAAGTTAAGGATGGGTTGCTAAAGAGACCCACTGTTGTAAGTTTTTGTTTTTTCTTCTCTGTAAATTATTATTTTTAATTACTTTTTAATCTGAGTTTATTGGCTTCCTTTGTAGGTGGAAGTTGAGAAGAAGGCACATCTTTTGCATGAGGATATAATAAAACACGTAAGTAATACTTGTTATGACAAATACAAGAAATAGCATCACATTCATAAAATTTACCATTTTATAGTAATTAATATTGCTTTATATTTAAATGACATTGCTATAATTAATTTACAGTGGCTTCCTAGAGAACTAAGCTATCTACAAAACCTCATAGATCGTGCAAATGAGAAGGGGTGGCGTAGGGAATATCCTTTTTTATGATGTACAAAAATGTCATTTTGCATTATAATTTATGACATCATTTATTATTAAATTAAATAAAATAATTTAGATACATGGGAAACCTTTACTTGCTTCAGCTGTTACATTGTATGAGTATTTAGAAAGAAGGAATCTGCTTCAAAAACCTTCTGAACAGTCAAAGTTGTTGACCGAGGTCCCAAAGGTGACTCCAGATGCACTAGATCCACAAGATATACAAGACTTATGTAGTCCAGATGCTGCAGGTAATTATTTCAGGAGGGTAAATCCGTCATTTACTCATTCAGTCCAAAAGGAAAGTATTTGTTTCTACAACACTTACTCTACACAAACATCATGTATCCATAATAGATCTAAAAAGAACAAGGGCAAAACCGTCATTTTCTTACCAGTTTGTTTGTCCTCCTTTGTTTTTTCTTCCGTTTCCCAAAGTGTGCTGTTGTTTCTCAAATTTTACAAAAGGGTAAAATGGTCATTTACTTGCATTCAGTCCACAAAAGAAGTAATTTTTCAAAGTACAATGTTGTAGTAAAAATGAAAGTACATTGCTATTTATTGCATTCAGCTGTTTTTTTAAGGGTTAATCTCATAAAAGACCTTATGTTTTGTGTTTTTTTTTTCCGGATTTAACCTCAGCTTTATTTTTTTCCAGAAAAAGACCTTGTATTTTTTTCATTTTTTTTCCATGTGAGGGTTTTTTCGGAAAAAACTAAAAAAGTTGAGGGTTTTTTCAGAAACACTTAAAAGGTTGAGGGTTTTTTTCGAAAAATGAAAAAATACGAGGTTTTTTCAGGAAAAATAAAATAAAGTTGAGGTTTAATCCGGAAAAAAAATACAAAATATAAGGTCTTTTATGATATTAACCCATTTTTTAATCATCATTTATCCAACCATTTGTACAGATACAGAACAAGTGGTGGATCTTGTTGAAGCTAATGAAGGCAATCAACAGCCAGTGGAGAACGGGGGTATTAAAGTAATTTCACATGTAAATTCAGGAGAAAAAGTAACCACAGGAGGTTTCGAGTGGGTTGAATCCGTGAAGATTTGTGACATCAAAAGTCCAAGTGACACATTGGTGGAATTAAACAACAATGTGACAAATGTGATTGAGCTAAGTGATGATGAAGATGATGATAATAATAATAATAATAATAATAATAATAATAATAATAATATTAAGACACAAGGAAATGTAATACAAGAGGGAAATGTGTGTGATGTATCCCTTCAACAATGGTTTTATTTGGATCCACAAGGAAAAATCCAAGGCCCTGTTTCAAGAATCGAGTTGAAATGCTGGAGTGATGCGGGCTACTTCCAGCCTGATTTTAAGGTGTGGAAAGACGGTCAGGTGCCCGAGAGTGCTGTCTTGTTGACCGATATGCTTTCGGACAGTTTTTAGTAATTGAGTTCGGGCAGTTGTAGTGATTGATAGGAATGGTTTTTTATTTAGAGATTATACTTAATACCCGAGGGTACATTGCCATTTTGTCATCTTTTTGTGGGTGAGTTTTCTTATTTTTAGGTTTAAAATGTTTTATCATTTTTTAATCATTGTTTGCTCTAATTATCATCTCTAATCATAGGCTTTATTTATTTATTTATTTTTTTAAGTTTCAATCTAAGTCTACAACAATAGTTTGTAGTTCTTTTTTTAAATTGAACTAACGACAGAACCATGCAACAACAATATAGTGTAAATGTCGCCTCTAGATGTCTTAATCGATTAGACCTCACATCTGAGGGACGAATCACAATGTTCCTTCTTAGTTCTTACCACTATAGGGCCTTTGATTTTGAAGGTTTAAAGGTTTATATATAGCCGACAAAAGTTGACACACCGTATTAATCCGACACATCCGACACGAAATAAATGAGTTTGGATAAGAGATCTGACAAGTGATGACATGAAAATTAAATGGGTAAAGTTATGGTCAAGCTCCCTCAACCCATTTAGTGTTTCAACACAATATAACATGACATGATAATGAGGTCTAAACTTTAAACTAACAACACAAAATAATTGAGTTTTGATAAGAAATTTAAGATAACACGGAAATTAAACGGGTAAGGTTAGGATTAAACTCTTTCAACATGTTTAATGTTTCAAATCGACACGACATGTTTACCATGTCTAGGTTTATGTCATGGGATCTACGGATTTTTTTGGAACGTCATATATTTATAAAGGATTTAGGGAATTTTTGGAAAAGTCATATATTTATAAAAAAAAAAAAAAGTCTAGCAAGGTACTAGGCAAATCAAAGAGATCATGTAGAGTTTATAACACATACCGAGTTTTGAAGACACCCAACCAATTAAATTAGATTTATTACTCTTATTAAAAAAAAACAAAAAAAAAATATGATTGCCACGCTATAAAATTGACCATAGTGGCTTTCCCTAGTTTACAATTTCAAAAAAAAAAGTATCAATGGAAACTTCCAAATCGCTCAATACGCCGTCAAGACAACTGTTTCAAGACACTTCTTTTGCAAGAAGTAATCTTGAGTTGGTTCACCCAAACCGAAGCTCTAAGAAGTTAGCAAATTTTGGCATAACGAAATTCCACCGTCGACCTGGGATCAAATATCAACTGTGGGAGAACAAGAAAAGAATGTGTGATCCATAGTCTCAATAACCGATCACATATAGTGCATAAGAAAGAATCCACTTTAATACCCTACTTATCAAGATTGAACTTACTATGAAATTTATTTTCCTTTAATCGCCAAGCCAAAACATTCGATCTTGATATGAACAAGATTGTTCCATAAAGTGGGAGAACCTTCCTCAATTAACGTACACTTATCAATTAAATGTCTATCTGAAGAAACCCTGAACTCTCCATTAGCTTCGAACTCCTACCTTTATTTGTCGCTTTGTTGAGTGAAGACCTTATGTTGCATAAAATCATGCAACCCAATCCATTGGTCTAGTTCATACCCACTTTCGGGTCACGACGTAAAAACAAAGGCCACACTTCAAGCAGAAGATGAACTCGAACCGTAGCTATTTTGTTCGGATCAAGACAATAAACTTTAGGAAACCAAGTTTTGAGAGGTTCTCGCCCATCCAAATATCATCCAAAAATCTAATATTTCAACCCTCACCCACTTTCTTCGAGCAAAAAGAATTGAGATTGGAACTGTGTTGTTTACTTGTTTTGCCGACCACAAAATATCCACTCAAGGTCACAACATTTGAATGCATGTGACCATCTTCTTTATAAATGTTTTTGATAGTACAAACTCAAAAATCATCAAAATTGGTAAGAAACCGCCACTTTCAATTAAAAAAAAAAGCTTTATCAAGACAATAAACTCTAGGAAACCAAGTTTCGAGAGGTTCTTGCGCATCCAACTACATCCCAAAATCTAATATTTCAACCATCACCGACTTTCTTCGAGCAAAAAGAATCGATATTGAAACTATGTTGTTTACTTGTGTTTGCCAACCGCAAAATATCCACCCAAGGTGAACCCTCATGACTAGTCACAACATTTGAATGCATTTAACCATCTTCTCTATAAATGTTTTGATAGTCCAAACTCAAAAGCATCGATATTGGTAAGAAATTGTCACTTTTAATTAAAGAACAAAATTGTATTAAACATGTATAAGCACCCTTCTAGCAAACCACCTTCCTCTTTACTTGCCATAACCTTCTTCCACTTGATCCATTTAAGCTTTCTATCATCTAATTCACCACCCATAACAAATCAATTTTTGAGCGATTCTAGGGAATTGACACATGAAATACGTGGCGATGCTCTGAAGAATTTAATTTACTAATGTGAAAATGTGAAAAGGAAATTAAAAGGGCAAAACGGTATTTTTAATTTTTTTAGGGACTAATACTACAAAAATTTATGATTTTGGACCAATGGTGCAAGTTAGAAACTTTTTGGACTCCAACCACAATTTTTTGCAAATCACACAGACCAAATTTACAATTTTTAGACTTCTTTTTAATAAAAGTCAAAGGGTTTTCGGCCATCACTCCTTAGTACACCGAAGTTTCTTTAACTACCTCTTTGAAGCTATCCATGAAAACCCAAGAGTGGAAAACAAGGGAATGAGTTCCATCCATAAACATTAAAATCCTATTAGAAGAACATGTCAATGGTCTGAAAAGTGACGCTCTAGATCGTGCCCGGTGGATTTGGAAAGTAGTCAAGAGGTCATTCTAAAAGCAAGAAACGATCCAACTTACTCAGTTTAGACGCTTATTTATTTAACAATTGAATTTATAACCACCAAGTTGAATATGCACTAAATCCGATCACTTGTAATCTAAGATTATTGAATACATTAGCCACTGATTGACATCAAACCGAGCCACTCATTAGAACCCCTAAACACATTAAAGTCATCTATGGAAATAACTTCACTATCAAATCTAATAAGAATAGATACACGTTTGAGCCATAATGCATGTTTTTTTTATCCCCGACTTGTGGAGGGCACACATTAACAATTAAAACTTTCACTCTATTTGAAAACCACACAAAGGATACCCGCGGATTGACATCTAGCATAAGAACATGCAAAATCAAGAACATATTTAATTCTAAGAACTCCATTTCTACTAATAACTGATTCAATATACATTAAAAATCGTTCATTTCATAATGCAGGGTTTTTCCAAAATAAATAGTAGCCTTTAATTATTCAAGAACAGAAAACCACCAATTTGATGTTTACAAAGAGAATAAAATTTATCATTTACTTGTTTATTCAAAGTTAGACCAAATGAGTTTTATATGGTAGATGATTTGTGAATTAGCATATGCGCTTCTTTCGAACCAAAAACATCGTGGTGGTTGTCGGATTGGATGTCTAGGGACACTAACTCTACAACAACCTAGACATGTGGTCGAAACCCGTTGTCTATCAAAACTATTAGTGTGAAACCGAGAGAGGTACATTGTTGTAAGCTAAGCAATGTTGGTAATCTTAGTGTCACCGTTTCATATTATGTAATGGGATTTATACATGCTTTAAAGGGGATTATATCTTAGTTTTAATACAAGGTTGGATGTACAGAGTGCATACTTGTGTTAGTATAGATTAACCCCAATACGACCAAAAGAGCGGGGGTCAAGGGGGTCGCGCCCCCTGGCGAGGTTCTAAGGGGCAGCACCGCTTGGCCCGATCAGCGGGTTGGGAAAAAAAATACAAAGTTACTATAAGGACTATTATAGAAAGTATTAAGTTTTCACGGGGTTCCAATGTAATTTTGTATGGTTATCAACTCCTTAATTGCCTTATCGAAAAACATTTTGAATTGTGAGAGATATTAGTTTTTCTCTATATTTTTTTGTAACATCCCAAAATCCAACCATAAAATTTTGAAAATCAAAGTATAACTGTTTAGGTTTTACCAAAAGGGTTCATTCATATTCATTACTAAATCATCAAATCATCTTTCCATGTCACATTAACATATTCATAGTAAAAATAGGGAAGCTAAGTGTTTGAAAACCATAATGTAACGCAAAATGGTTAAACTAGATGTCATGCCCCTACAAGAATGTCCAGATATCTCAATTATGTCAACTCCTTGTCCTTCGAGTTTGAAGGACCTACAACTAAAACATAAAGTAACAACTATAAGCCTAAGGCTTAATGAGTAATTAAAACACTCACCCATTATATAGACATATGCAATAAATATACTAACACATACACACACATGTACACACACACACACACACACACATATATATATATATATATATATATATATATATATATATATATATAT